GTGTGGGGTGGGAGGATTGAAAAGCTCTTAATGATGTAGTGCTGTGGTTTGAAACTAGAGATTCAGAGTATGAATTTTTTATAGGTCTTGTGACTGAAAGTTGAAATGCCTGGGTGTTTAACAGAGCACTTCTATAGAGATAGCAGAGAGGTCATTAGTCCAACATTTGAGCTGCTCTGTTACGGGCCTTCACCGGGGCTAACACAGGCATATGTGGTAATAATGGAAAGGTTTGGGATTTGCAACAATAAATGGCTTTTCAGATAAGGACTAATCTACTCAAAAAGGCAATAGCAGCCTTGCTTTTGGGTCAGGAGGAACAGCAGGAGGATAAAAAAAAAAGTCATGTTGCAGATGTCTCAATTGAGTATTTTCTTCTGTTAGACAAGCAGAATAGGGAATTTGGCACATTCTGTGCACCTGATGGCAGCTTAAGAGCCTCTGAAATGTTCAGCTCAGTAATCGCTTTTCTCCTTCCCCGGGAACATTTTCAACAGGAGCTGTCTTATCTTAAAAGACACGTTATGAAGCAAGAATCGGGCGTGTTTTAGCATTTTCAATGAGAATGGGAGAATGAAGGGAAATGGCAAATGTGTTAACGTGAATACAAAACGATTGTGCAAAAAATGTTATATAATGTAGGATTGAAATAAAAGAAAAAATATTTAAATTTGTCAGGTAGAGGAGAAAATGAAGATTCATCTTAATACTATCTAAAAAGGGCCTTTAAGAACATATTTTACTTTGGCTTCCATTTGGAAGGTCTTATTTGCATTTTCTGAAAGTCTAGATAAATAGAAAGGTTTATGTAGTCTCACCAATTTCGCCTGGGTTACACAGAGCTTTATAAAACTTTGTAGAATGTACTCAATTATTTACTCTTTGAATAGCTGGAAATCATTAAATGGGGCTCAAGACATGCAAAATAAAAAGGCCTGTATTTATAATGATCTTTTTAAAAAGTACTAGGAAATAGTTTATTAAAGGGATATTTTACCTGTATTTAAACAAGGAAAATACTCTTTTTGTTTGTAAATCAATTTAGTACGTGATGGCAGCAAATCACTAAGTACAGAACCTCAAAATTAATTCCAACACTTTGTGGGAGATTTCAACAATGATAGCGCACAAAGATTGCAAAATGTGTAGAGTTCCATAATTGATAATACAGAACAAGTGGCATAAATTCACAGAAGGGATATGTTTGAAGCACCTGTCCTGTTCTAAGCAAGGAGTGGTGGGCCTTGGGAGCATTTATCTCAATTCATCTCACTCATGCCTGATCCAAGGATCACTGGGCTTTAGGAGCATTTTCAGTAACCCCAGGCAGCAGGACCAGGCAAAGCTGCACACTTTAAAGTGCATATTGTGGCACCAAGGAAAGAAATATCCACATCACAATCTTGGAAAGGCAATTACATCATGGGGTGGGTTTTATTTCTTTCAGAACTGCAAAATAGTCTAAATAGATTGTTTTTCAAAGCAGGATGTTTTGTAATGAGTGGCTTTAGTAATTTTCTTCATCACTGGACTGGAATTGTTGCCTTCTTTTGTAATATCTGTTGGCAAAATTGTTTCATTATTTTCTGGGCCTCCTATTGTTTTTGTATTACATCTCTTAGAGACCAAAATTAGATTATCATTCTCATGGTGCTGCATGAAACAGGATTTAGAAAGTGATTAGGTAAATTCATGAGGAAAAACCAATTGAAGGCTACGAAACACAAAGATTGCTGGAAGTTACACTGTGACAGACAGCTGGTGGCTGTCTTTTCCTTTTGACTGTCCTCAGGCATCTACAAATTCAGACAAGATATGCTTCACAGAGAGCAGCTGGTCTGCTCCAATGCTGAAGATATCTTAAAACCCAAAAAAAATAGGAAACACATTGATCAGTACTGCTTCCAGTTCTAATTCTGAACTCTGCCAAGAACAGTGTTACCTTAATATCAGGTAATTCTGCATTTTATTGGTATAAAACTCTTTAAAAACACTGGGGTTTCAGGTGGGATTTCCTTTGATGCCATCTAAATTCCTATTCTTGTTTTAATTCTGCCTTTGAAGGGGCTCACGTTGCACTGTGAGTTTGCTCCCAGAGCTGACAGAAAGACCTCACCCTATTTCTAGCTAGTCCCTGGGGAGATTTGCTCAATTCACCTGGAGGAATTTTTCTCATGCCCCCTCTGAGCTCATTTCTTGTCCAGAGGAGAATCCATTGCTTGGGGTTCCATATTAATTTCCAAATCTCTCAAGTACATTTCACTATTATAAGCTAAATTCCTCCCCTCATAATTTTATGGGAAAAAAAAGAAAATAACAGTTTGGGTGACTCAATCATATTTAGGCTGTTTTACTGCTGCAGAGAACCACCAGCATTTCGTCAGCCAGAAAAAAAAATAATTGGCTTTATTGCATTAATGCATCCATTTATCCTACTAAAAAATATGACACATGCATCCCCCAACTTAGAGTTATTTTTAAGGATGGAAGCTGAGAAATTTGGAAGGTTTTATTCCTATCCTAGAAATGTCTCACTGGAAGACTTATTTTTTTTCAAGATGAGAGTGCATATTAGATATTGCTTTTTGGCGGATCCTACCTGAGATACCCTACCCTCAGTTTTCAGAGATAACAAGAAACTACAGAATTTACTTTGGATCTGTGAATATTGCATGCAGCAGGAGGAAAAAACCAAAAGAACTCCATTGTCTGAGTAAAGATGAGGGTGCCCCAAACTGACACTTCTGAAAAAGAAGAGGTTTTTAGCTCTTTGTCAAAACTCATCTCACTAAATATTCATCTGGTATAATCTGTCTCACAACAGGGATACTGTCCTTTATTAATCTTACCCACAACAAGTACAACACTTGAGTTGTTTGGTAACAGTGGCTTAGAGCCCGACCACTTTGGATCAGAACATGTTAAAACAAAAGAGAAAAAAAGGGAGTGAGGGTTTGCATCCAAGATTTAGTTTGGCCCAAATACAAACCCAGTATTTTCACTGAAGCTCATCTTTAATTATCTTTCAAAGTATGTTCTGCTTGTTTAATCAAGAGCTTAACATTTTGGATGTAAAGATGCTTTGGATACTTACTTTAAGAGGTTCATCATACTCAAGCTTAAAGTATAGTGGTTCTTAATTAGGGATTCTTTTAATATCATACACAGACTCTGGTTTTTATTATATTGTGAAGGAAGATACTCCTCTTAGGAACTGTAGCTCTCAGATAACTTTTCCGAGATTAAAAATATTTTAAAACGGCTATTTTAATTGTAAATATAACAAATTCAGGTTTATGATATTACCAGTATGCAAGGCAAACTGAAGATTTCCTTTATTCCCTGTCTGCTGTTACATCTTAAGTCCAGAAACTGTTACTTAATTCGCAGATGCGGGTGAGACTTGTCACACATATTTCACTTTTTCCTGCATTTACTTTGCTGACTTGTGGTATTCATGTAAATGCCAGATTGCTTAAGCTTTAGAAAGTGATATGTTTGGGACAGTGCTTATCACATTTGTCATTTAATGCTCACTCCAGTACATTTTCCTTGCATGCTCTGAAGCACATTCACATCCCTATTCAGAATTGCAGGCACCCTCCCCAAGGCCCTCTTGCAAGCTCCCAAATTATCATGTTCAGAGTGGAGATTGTTTTAGCTACTTCCTCTAATCCATTTCTAGTATAATTACACTGTGGTCAATATGTATTTGATGTTCCATAACCTCACATTATTTTTTTTTAATGCTTGGCTCATTTCCTGGATTAGTCCAAAGCAGCCTCTGGCTGATGGAGAGGCTTCAGGAAACTGCATTAAAAAGCAATTTTGGTTTGCACAGGGATTCACTGGCTAAAGGGTTAATGCACACTTCAGGGATGAATGTGGGGTTTGAGATGAGGGTCCCTGTGAGCCTTTGTGCCTCACTTGCCCTTCATTGAAAGTGTAATTCCCTGCATCAGTCCACAGGTAGTTGGTCGTGTCTGGCAGCCGGTTGTGGAGCATCTGCTGTGTCGTGTTAGCCTCCAGATAAGCTCAGCCAAATGAGGCCATGGTGAGAAGCTTCTTCCCTCTTCTTCCCTCCCTCCTTCCCTCCCTGCTGCTGGAGGGGATCACCCCTGCAGAAAGGTCAGAGCTGCACACGTGGCCAGGCTGCGGGTGCTGCAGCACAGAGAGAGAACCTTCATCTGCAGAACCTCCTGCATGTCTGACCCTCATCAGCCTCTGTATCTAACCCTTTATCAGCCTCTGTGTCTGACCCTTTATCCCTTTATCAGCCTCTATATCCATCTCTTCATCAACCTCTATGTCTGACCCTTTATCATTCTCTATATCTGACCCTTTATCAGACTCTATGCCCATCTCTTCACCAGCCTCTGTGTCGACCCTTTATCAGTCTCTATATCTGACCCTTTATCCCTTTATCAGCTTCTATGTCTGACCCTTTATCAGCCTCTGTATCTAACCTTTATCCCTTTATCATCTTCTATTGTCCAACCCAGAAATTTTAGCTCATATTGAAGTTTTCTCAGAAAAGGAATATTCTGGGATTTCCCCATTATTCACCTTAGTGTCTCTGATTGCTGCTAAGTTTCATACAAGGTTTTGAGCCATTTAAACAAAAAAAAAAAAAAAAAAAAAAAAGAAATTACTGTTCAGCTCATGCACTTTATGGGGAAGGTGTGTTTGGTGTAAGTGCAGTGGGCAGGCATGACTGTATCCTGTCCCCCTGGCATTCCTGGGGCTTCTGAGGCACCTTCACAGGGCTTGACATAAAGCTGTCCATCTCAGCATCTGTAAATGTGTTTGTGGAGCTGAACCAGTCACTAATGCCTGAAGAGATCCTTTCATCTCCCCTCCTGTTTGGTCAGCCCTTCCTCCCCTCAACCCAGCAGTTTAAACTAAAATGAATATAACATTCCAAGCACTCAAAAGCAGACCAGGCATTTTGATGTAAATAAATCTGGGGGGAAAAAATACCTTTTGTACTGGCAAGAAGCTCAGGAAAGGTAAATGGAAACATTTATTTACATACTCTTATTTCTGTTTTGTCCTACTAACTAGGTTTTCACAATAGTCTTCTCCTGCCTGTATTGATGCTTTTGTATACAGAGAATGAAAAATGCATGTGGGCTCCCAAGGCTAATCTATACACACACAGTTTTGTTCCCTTCACGGCATATTTCTGCACAAACTCAAGTAGATTTTCTCAGAAGATGTCCCAAAGGCCACGTTTAATGACAAATTATGATCATTGCAACTATATCTGAACTATAATTCTAATATATGTACATATGTTTGTATTTTAATACATATACATATGAATTTGGGCTACATATTTGTAATAGCATGAGTTAGTTTGTTTAACTATGTAAGACAAATAGCTATATTATTGAAATCTCTGTAAATGGCATTAGTAACACATTTCAGCTGAGAAAGCATAACATTACAATTCCTGTCATTCTCCCTTTAGACTTTATTTAATAGTCTGGTTTCATACTACTCTGTCTGTGCTGCTGCTGTTCAGAGCAAGCCAAATTTAAATTCAGCCAGAAACACAACCTCACGTTCCACACTCAAGTGATACATTTGAGAGGACAGAAGCAATTTGCAATGTCACAAATATTTTGCAGGTTGGCAAACTGTATTATCTCTGTAGTAGCAGTGAGCTCTGGCCTTATCCTTTGACACAGATTCTAGGCCATACATTTTTAACACTTCCTTTAACACTTTCTTATTTGTGCATAAAACATTACAGGGGAATGGGCTAAGTGAACCGCCTACACAAAGGAAGTGACAACAATAAGTAACAAAAATAGTAAGGAAAATCAGCAGATTGGGGGATTGTAATAAGATTTGGAAATCTCTGACAGAAAGGCAATTTAAAACAAGGATCTTCATGTTCACTTCGAAACATCTGACAAGGCAAAAATTCCAAATGCCTCTTAACTGAAGAACAATTTCCCCTTTTCTGGACAAACTGTATTCCTGTAGTGTCATTAGGCCAGAAGGCAAAGCTCATGAAAGTTTGTACAGTTTTGGATCTGTTTGATTTCCACTCCTTTTCTAAGCATTCAGTGATGCTGAGGATGCTGAATTGAGTGAGAAGGTGAAATTCCAGTCTGCAGGCTAAAACAAGTGAGGAACCTGTTTGTTGTTCTCAGCATCACAGCAGATTGGCATTTCCTCCCACTACCAGCCTACAACTTTTCAGTTATTTCACTAATTTAAGAAGCATGTCTCTAAACCCACAGCTGCCTGAAATGCAGCCTATACACTTCTATTTAATTTACTGATTGAGCTCTACATCTAACAAATGGAAAAACTGAAGCAAATATTTTCACTATGAAATTTAAAACTTCTCTGAAATAAGCCTTAAAGAAGCTTGGGTTCCTGAATAATTTCTGCTAAAATTTGTCATCCGTACAAGTTTATTTAATCCAAATCAACATTAAAATTAAAAAAAAAAAAAAAAAAAAAGCCAGGAAGATGAAAACTGTCATCTACAAAATGAAACTGAAGTTCTGTGAAGGCTGTATTTCCAAATAATGTTATTTTTATTGGAATGGGTAACGCTTAGAATATGGTAATAAAAACTTGGAGGTTTTTTTTCCAAGATTTTGACTTAACTGCTTTTGATCAGCAACATTTTCTCAAGTCATTGGAAAAGAGCAGTCCATGTAACCACATGAGTACCAGCAATACATTTTCTGCCATTGGTACTGTGACCCTATCAGCTCAGCTTAAAGACAAATAAAATCTTTAATGCAGTTGATGCAGTTTTTATTTGAATGCTATGTGTTGAAACAACTCAGATTTTACTGAGGGAGCTCCAAATGCATGCACTGCAAGCCAAGTGAATGATAACCTTTATTTTTATAATAGGATTGCTGCATTTATCACCCCAATTACAATGATCCTAAGCACTGATCCTAAGCCCTTCTGCTTTAAAAAAGGCAAAATGTATTAAACAAGGAATAGCTGCAAAGGCAAGAAACTCTTAATGGAGTGCTGAAACTGTACATCTACAAATTTTTAAGGGTTGAAAAACTGAGTAAAGCTCCTCTCAAGTGCTGTTTAGTTCCACAACCTGTGTACTCCCACCACCTCGTACAAGTGGGAGTATTGTCATTTTCTAATAGTCTGAGAGAGGATTGTTACCTGTGAGGAACATAACCAATGCACATCACATACAGTGGCTACAATAAAGGTCTCCGTAGCAACATTAAGAACAGATATTTTAAAGTGCTCCTAGTCTTATGTTCATTCTTTTTTTAAATACAGCTATTAACTGCTTCCACTGCAGATGTTGCTGTGAGCTAATAATCCAGCAAAACTCCTTTGCTCAGGCTTGAAAGGATGATCCCTGCCTTGTTTTTCTGCAGATCACTACAGGCTTGCTTTCCCCTGCAATCAGTTAATTTCCACTAAATGTTGCATCATTATTTATCAACAGGCAGCTGGTCTGAAAAAAAAATCAACCTGTCAGAGTTTTCTCTCCTCTGAGAGGAGTCAGAAGAGCTGTGGGAATAGAAAGAATGTAAAAAGGAAGATTTGAGCAGGTTATGGCAGGCAGTCCACCAAAATGCTAGAAAACAAGAGTCTGGGGAGGTTCATCATGCCTGGGAGTGGGGCTGAAGGAAGCAGAGTTAAAAGGTAGGGTGGTGAGGAGGAGGAGGAGGAAGCTGGAAAGCTCCTCAAAGCCCTGTGAGCTGTGTCAGATGCTGCAGCGGGGGAGCTGCTGTGGGAGCTGAGCTTTATTAAGAGAGGAGGAACACCAGAGAACAGTTGGGTTTATCTCAGGGATCCCAAATGGTTCCTTCTGGAGGAGGAGCGGGAAGAATGCTAATATTTTCTGAGAAATGAAGCAGCGTGTGAGATTTTCTTGCTCCTTTGGACCAGTGTCCCCAGAGCTTCAGCCCCTACTGATTCCAGCATAAAGATTGACTTAAGACAAGCATGGATTTCCTGACCTCCTTGTACCCAGCATTTTTCTTTTTGTCTCAGAGTAATCCGACTGTTTTCCCCTGATTCCTCAACCCTACAGTTTGAGAGGGGAATGTAGATTTCAGGCAGGTAAAACAGGTAGAAAAAGGCTGAGCTCAGCCCTGTGCTGAGTGATACTGGGGCTTAATTTCTGAAAAAAAACAGAATGATCTTCCTTTCTACTATTAGCTTCTTATGAGAGAACTAGAAAGGACCAATAATAGCAATAATTTATAACTGATGTACTCAGGAGTGATACAGGAATGATAGAGGCATGTACTACAAGCCTTAGACTTCATTAATTATATATAAATACGCATACTGGGTAAAAAAACAACCCTCCTAAGTTTGGAAATAGACTTCTGAGATGCTAATCTTTGCTTCATCAGCTTAAATGCTTAAAACATAGTCTGGAAATACTGTTTGTACCACGCAGAATTGATCTGCTTTGGAGGGAGCACAAACCTGGGAGCATGAGAGTGTACTCATCCATTATCCACTCTGTTATGTACACAGGGTTCTGGTCCATCTCTGGAGCAGCTTGGGCAGAAAGGATGTCAAAGGCAGGGGAAGGGAATCACAGGTAAACATGTAAAAATTGCATGTTGAGAAGGATGGCAGGAAAAAAAATGAGTGGATATTTAACAGGAGGCCTTGTCAAGAACAAAGTGTGCAGAAGGGAAGGTAAAAGGATTGAATTCTGTCCCATTCTAAATCTCTTCAAGGGACACCAGAGGTCTTTAACAGGGACTCACTGATAGGCATTTGTGCAACAGAGTTACCTGGGCTGGGCAGAGCTGGTTTATTTGAGTGTTCCTCTCTCTTCTATTAGGATGGGAGCACAGATTTCTTCAGCTAATTCAGCTCTGTTCCTAATGGCAATTGTCTGGGAAGTTCTTCAGGACTATATTCCCCCTCCACTCATGCTGTTTTGCTGGGAAAGCCTGGGAAAGAGCCTATTAAAGGCAATTTGGCTGAGCTGCCCATATCTCTAGGAAAAGGGCAGCCATCAGCAGCTCTGTGAGTGCTTCATGCAGTCAGTACAGCTCCTGGCTGGGAAGTAGCTGAAGATTTAGGACCGACTGCAAGGTCTGTCAAGGATCCGTGCCAAGGAGCAGCTGGACAGGCTGCTGGCTGAAGCCTGTTACACCACCATGGTTCATAACCGAGGTAATTGTCTGTGTTTGATTTTACACAGGAGATTTGTGGGCATCAATACTTCCTCCACACCAGCTGCTCGGCATATCTGATGCTGTAACCTGAGCTCACTGGCTTTCTTCTTGTCAGAAGGGCACCATCAAGGACATTTTCAAAGTGTATGCCAAGTTATTTGTGAAAACCTCTCAGAACATTGAAAATATTGCTCTTCCACAAGGCCAAATTCTCATTTGATTCCTACAGTTACCCTCATCAGCACAACTCTCCCACAATAACTTTCTTTTCATGTCTTCTCTTCATGTGCATTTACTGGGGGAAATTTTCACTTGACACAAGATAGGTGCCATTAAGAGCAAGCCCAGGTTCAAATTTAGGTGAAGAGGAGGTTACACAGATGCAATGAAGATTTAATAGCAAGTTATTGCTGTCCTTCTCACACCATTGATTTCCCCTTCTGCTTTCCACACTTTTTACATTTAGTAGAGTTAGCAGTAACAATCTGTAGTTGTTTTGCATTTTGTATTTAATTTCATTGTTGTTTTGGTTTTTTGAGGGTTTTTTTGTTTGTTTTTTGACACAAATGTTACCTACAAATAGGTTTTAGTTACAATTCATCTGCACAGTCCTTTCTTCCCTCCTTGCTCACAATTCTGGCTCAATATTTTGTTTCTATATTATTCTCTGCCTGGGCTCAATATGCCCAGCTGTCAGGGTGATTTTCCTTTGATTCTGACCCATCTTAACATTTGAGGAAGGTATTTTAATGCTTTGGGTACCAGACCTGGAGAGAACAGTTCTGTGAGACAGCAATGCCAGGATTCCTGCCTGAATTCTCAGCACAGACATCAGCCACGTTGCTTCATTATCTTCAGAAGGTATTTGGTCACCTGAATCCTTTGAGATGAAGCTTAGGTCTGCAAGCCCTGAAGTCACATGTGTGATATCAGGATAAATGTGCTTACTAAAATTACAGGCTGGTTAGATAAGTTGGACATGTAGACACACATCTGGGGCAGCTGGAATAAATATCCCTCCCCATTATCCACACTAGTGAGCTAATTTAGCTCTTGCTGGAGGCCAGGGCTGCAGGAAACTGCTTTAGGTGCTGTGGAAGGAACAAGGGGCAGTGAGGGGGCTGTGGTCGCTCTCATTACATTTTCTCTCTGTGGTTTGGTGACTCATGTTTCACACTTCCTCATTTGGCCATTTACCAACAATACAAAGTGTCCTTTTCTAACACAGAAGCATTTAGGAGAACTGGGCTTGGGTAAACAGTATAAGAATGATTGTTGGTAGCTGTGAAGAGTTCTGGTTCACAGCTTTTCTGAGTGGGCTTGTCTTGATCCAAACACAAGCTCTTTTACAAAAGAGCCAGCTGCTCATGGTACCCCTGATGTACTCAGTGCTTCTGTAGCCCAGAATTCATGATGGATGATGACAATTTGCAATGTCTGATCCTCTTCATCTGAAGATTTCATGCTCAGTAAATCACATGTATTTCTTTTTCCTTATTTTCATCTGTGAAGAAAGCTTCCAGTGCCTTTTCTGAGTTTGCCTTGGTTCATTCTGCTTTAGCTGCACTTGTTTCCAGGTCCTGCATGGGTCTGGAAAGCAGTGTGTATGTTCCTGTGTGCTGTGATGAGGTAGCAGGTGGAGAACTTGAAAAACAAGTTGTTTGGAAATGCAATTAAGATGCCAAGGAGTAACTTGCAAGATTTTGCTGAACATATAGACCCAAACAGGCTATTGCTAAATAGGTGCTGTAGACTAACAAAGCTGTGTTAGGAAAAAGTAAATAGAGAAAGGAAAAGCAAATAGGGAATGGTCATAATAAAATGACGTAGATGTTCATGTAGGAAAGAAAGGAGAGGATCCTCTTTATTATATTGCAGGTACTAGAGGTTTGTGATTTTCTTTTTAAAATTTTTTGGGTTTTTTGTTAATTTGGTTGTTTTGATTTTTTTTCCACTAAGTGTGAAATATAATATTTCAATTAATTAAATGTCTCAGGAGTTAACCACACAGAGACTCATAGCTGCATCCCTCAAATTTCCTGTGGAATTAAAAGCCTGACCAGCACAATAAAAATATGTTATCCTTTGAGCACTTCCTCCTGAAGATACTCTTGGTTTGAAGAGACAAAATATGGTCCAAAACTTCATCCTCATAGGTCTTCTGGGAAATAGGACTCTGAAACTTTGTTATTTTTGAATAGCAAAAGATGCAGAGCCAGCCTATGCTTTCTCCAAAACAGATCAGCATCTGCAGATCAGTGTGTAAAACAACAGCAAAGAGTATGAGGCCATGAGATCTCACCAAGGTTTGTCTAGTCAGGCTTCCTGTAATGTGATACCAAATCCAGCAGCAGAGGAATACTGGAATACCTAAGTGCAGAGCCTTCCTTTGCAGGCAACAATATGCCTTTATATCTGGTCAGTCCTACTTATTGATGTTAAGAGAAGGGCTTTGCAGTTATGTAGACATACTCAAGCAATCATTACAACAAAGAAGATTTTCAGTTTCTTCCCTTGTTTGCCCCCAGACTGAGCCCTCATTGAAGCAGAATCAGCACAAAGAGGCCTGAACTCACACATAAAAATATGCAGCATCGATGTGGTTTTTTTGTTGTTTGTTTTGGTGGTTTTTTGGTTTTTTTTTTTTTTTTTGGTTTTTTTTTTTTTTGTCTCTGGCTAATGATAAAACTGCTATCTTCATCAGGGAGCAGAACCCTCATTTCTTAACAAATTTTGAAGACCATGAGTACATTTCTCACCATGCAGTTGTGGTACCTCACCTATAGATAATCCACAATCTAGTACAGAGGTCCAAATAAAACAGTTGAGAGAAAAAAAAAAAAGACAGCCAGCAAACATCACAATCATGTGCATCCAGATCCTGAGGGAGATCCACTTAAATCCAGCCTTGAATCCAGTCACTGAATCCACTCCTCTTGGGGAATCCAATTTTTGTGGTGCCACCACCACCACAGAAGTAATTGACTTCCTGGCTGTCTCAATATTGAGATTTCTCTGGACAGATGCACAATATTTTTGAGCATAATTTAATAAAATTTTGGTATCTTTCTCTGTATTTCTCTTATGACTTCACTGGTCCCTTTCCATGGGATGCAGGACAACCTAAGAGTCAGTGCAGTATCTGCTCCACAAGGTATCTGCTCCTCAAATATTGTTTGCACTTCCATAGTGTAAAGTGAAACCATTCCAGCTCAGGGATGATGAAATACTGTAGGGGAAAAAAAAAAAAGCAGAACAGGTCTTGCTCATTTGGACAATGCCATAACATTCTTCATTTTGAGGAGGCAGGAGAGGGAGTGGGATGAGAGAGGTAGTTAGGAAAGAAATAAAACTCGGTTTTCTTCCAACAAAATATACTTTCCAGGAAGCTCAAGGAATTCCACCTTTATTTCTTGCTACAGGAATTAAAAAAAAAAAAAAAAAAAAAAAGAGACACAGCACAACCAGTAGTTGCTGTCTGTGCAAATGGATCTGCTTCCTGCTTCCTCTTCCACACCTAGTAAGGATTAAACCCTTATGCTCACTATCTCCAGCAGCAGGTAGCTGTCATGAACCCCTCACTGTGGTTGTGCTGGTGATCTCAGGTCTTGGAGAGAGACCAGGGCACCCCAGCAGACCCACACCATGCTCCAAGACAGGGCAGCACTACATGACCAGTGCACAGCTGCTTTTCCTTTCAGCCACCCTCTGTACATATTCCCTCTTCTGCACGTGGGTCACCTAACAACCTTACGCCTGCCAGGGATTTTTGGAAATATTAATAATAATTATGGTGACAAAATATTTGCCAACTACCCCTTTTAAGGTTTTATTTCTTACTGAAGTGCCAAACCGCCAAATCTCAAACTTCTGAGAAAGCAAATCTTACTATTTGCTCTGAATTCAGCCAAGTTTGATCCTATTACACTCTGTTAACTCCTGCTAGACTTACACTGCCTCATAAAGACTCTGCTGGAGACCAATACTGTCACTTACCACTTTTTCCCTTTTTACAACCACTCTGCTCTGTCACCCACCTGGCACCAACGACATAAAGCTTTCCATTTTAACCCCTGCCTTGCAGCCTGATATTTATCTTGGATGGGATTCTGATATCTGGTAATCTATTCACTCTCTCCCAGTTTAGAGGATGTTTCACATCCCATGACAGGGGGTTACTCAGAGAGTAGCTCAGATCTCCTATCAATTCAGGCACTGCTTACTTCCCCCTTCTGTTTCCTTAGCAGGAATCAAACCTCAATAATGATGGACTTGTTCTGTTCAGAAGGTCAAGCAGAGGTGCTAAATACACTGCTGAAGTATTAGTAAGTTCCTTGGATTTGGTTTGGAAAGTCATCCCAAAATTTTCTTGAAAGATCAGAATTTGGAGTTACTACAAATGACTGTAAGTACAAGATGAGTATAAAGAGTTGTTTGTGAATAATAGGAACTTGCTGCCATCTGGGCAGTATTAGGAGCCTTAGGATCTTTTAAGCATTGGTAAACAAACATTACAAGAAATGGAAGCAGGACAGAAATAAGACGAGCAAAACAAGAATGAAACAAAAAGTGACATAACAGAAATGTCAGTCATCATCGTGATGTCCTTAGAAAACCACCCTGAACAGAGAAGCAGGATGTTTTATCAGGTTGCTATCTAAGATAAGGCATCAGCAGGATCTGAAAAGCTGGCTTATGTCCCTCTGCTTTTTAGTTTCAGTACATGTGTTTTTAGACTCAGCTGTCATTCCTTGAAGCATCCATATTCTAAAAGTAAGCAATGAATAGTGAGCAGGGTTTTACTGCAGCCCTTTCCACAACTGTGAATTAAAGGTTTGGATCTCTGTGCAAAACTTGTTGCTCAAGTACCTAAATATAAAACCCTGGCTCAAGCACAAATCAAGTACACCAGAGCCATAAACCAGGCAAGAGCATTACCAAAGCCCAGGGCTCAAAAATGAGTGAGCTCTTGCAGTGTAATGAGTTACTTACTGAGCATCAGCAGAGCCAGATGTTCATGGCCTGTCTCATATTTGAGGAAAAATGTGTTCATTTAAATGTCAGCAGAAGAAGATTTAAGATAATACATTTTTGCTGAGTGTTTGTGAGAGTCTAGAAGAATGCTTGTGGTGGAACCCCCAGCCTCGAGGAACACACAGAAACTCTCCAGGCAACAGTAACTTGATTATCTCCCTCAACCCTGAACTGAACCACAGTGGTGGCTTCATATTAGAACTGGGCAAGAGGCACAGGGCTGCCAGAGAAGGTGTAAATTCAATGTCTTAAATTGCAAGTCTGGTCAAGTAAGGAGCGGTGTTTTACTGAGGATTTCCTTTATGGAGTCACAGCACCAGCACTTCACTAAAGAAAAGCCTATTGTCTCTGAGGGAGAGCTGAGCGTTTCCTAGTGCACAGTTGTTAAAAAATAGTCTGTGTCTGGCTCACACTGGGCTGGGCAGTATTTTTCTAACACACCAAGAAAGAGAATCAAGGTGTTCTCAAGTTCCCCAACTCATCCAAAGCAGCTGATGCACTCCTTGGTGGCCTGGCTCATGTCCCCCATGAGGAGTGACTCTGCAGCCCTGGCTCAGCAAGAAGTGAAGCAGAGTGGCTGCAATCCTAGACAGTCCCTGTGTCTGCTTGTTCAAGGCCAGGGAGCCATTTGGATGCTTGAAGTATTCCCTGTGCTGTATTTAACTCATTGTGGGTTGGAACATGATAACATGATAAGAAAAAAAAAGCAATCATGATGTAGAAACAAATCACTCACGATGCAGGATTGCCTAGTTGGACATGGACTGCCTGGATCTAGTGGCCATCTAAATATTGGGAAATAGGCCTGTGAATGTTTTAATAGGGGTCTGCACTGTATTTCATACACATTTTCTTTTGAAAAAGCACCGACAGCAGATCCTTCACTCATCATACCAAAACCAAGACGTCTGTATGACTCCCCCAAGTGCAGAAAGCCCCTTTGTTTAGACAGCATCAGCCAGAAAATGCCTAAGAAACCAAGGAGATGGATAGAAACCATCTGAGAGCCAACAAGCCCTTGGAAAAAAATTTATTTAACAAGCTGACAACCTACATAGATACCCCAAGTTCATCCATTCTTTACCTTCAACTCCAAAATACCTTACTGAGTGAATGAAGCTTATTCTGAAGGCAAATATCTATGGATATTTGGGAATGTTGTGTGGGTCAGAGTAGAAAAGTGACTCCTAGTACAAGATCTGGGTGTATGTGTGTGTGTGTGTGTGTGTGTGTGTGTGTGTGTGTGCGTGTGTAGTGTGTGTATATATATATATATATATATATATATATATTCCTCATTCCCTGAATGATGGAACTTATAAAATCTACAAACTTTTTTTTTTTTTATAGATACACAACACTTTTAGGAGACATATAATTAGTGGTTAATCCAGCCCAAACTGTTATATCCCAAAATTACTGTGGCTGTCTCAGTTTGTGGCCACTGGATGTCACTACTGATTCATTTCAGAGGACCAGCAGTTTTGGTTTTTTTTCCTTATGCGTGCAAAACAAATACCCTCCTAATTTGGAGAAAATGAAACATTATTTTACTTATTATTTTTGTTTATAAGGACTTGACAGACCATTTTCCTAAGTCAGCATAGCACGCCTGTTTCCTTGTCTCTAAGCGTGAAGGAGCACAGGCACAGACTGCTTCCTTGCATTGCCAGACAACTTCTTCTGGTCAGGGAAGAGATCTTGGGATCCAGGGGGAAACTGCAGGTTTGGAGTGATGGTGCCATGTCAAAACTGCTTGGAGAAGAAGCAGCTCCCTTCATCCTGGGGGATTCCAGGAGCCTGGCAGGAGGCAGGGGAGGGTGCTGGGACCCTGCTCCACACTTTCCTGGAGCTGGTGCTAAATGCCAGCTCAGCACCACCTTCATTCCCTACCTCCCCTGTGGAAACAGGACAGATTTACTTATTTTCTTGGAGATAAAAGGCTGATCCCGAGTATTGTAAATTTTAATAAACAGTATCAACAAACCACCTGCCAGGTCACTAAAGGTGAGCTCTCTACAGATCCACCCCAGCGTGTTGGACACTTGCAAGGACATCAAGTGAGAGCTGGGTCTGCTTCTGAAGCCTTGCAGGTAGCAGAGATCAGAGGACAAAGTATTCTGTTCTGTTCTGTGATATCTTTGCTCTGCTCTCTGGCATCCCCACAGATCAGAGGAGAGGCAATCTGAGAGAAGCAGATGAAATGGAGCTCTGGGGAGGGAAGAGAGAAGATGACATCAAGATTTAGATGAGAAGAAAGAGTTTTATGGCAACGAAAGGCAGGTTAAGGAGATTCTGGAACAATCGCATCAAAGAAATGAAACAAGGAATCAGCCTCGCTTCCTTGAGACCTCTGGGCAGATAATATACATTTACCCACTCAATGCAGTGCTCTGGGGGTCTGGCACAACCCCTGGAGTGCTCTTCTAAACATTCTGTGAGTCCACCCTGCTCTGCCTGAATCCCACCTCATGCCAAGGTTGCTCAGAACCTCCCAGGAAAAGGTCTTATTTGCCATTCAGTATATCCTCACAAAACTTTCACCACTCAAGCTGAAAACTCCTGCTAGATTTTTCTGCCTCAAGCTGAAAAACAACGGAATTAAACTATTAATCTATTTATAAGAAAGAAAATTGAAAGAGAAATCATATACTCAGTAGAAACTTCTAGAGATTAATAATCGGACTCTTCCAAGATTTATCCCCTTTAGGCACGCAAGGATCCCCAAGCCACTTAAAAACTGGCTGAGAGCCTGGGAGGAGAAAGGAGAACAGGACCAGACAGCTAAAGGGGTGGAGATTTTTTTAGACAGGGTCAATTAAGTTGGCATAGACAACCCAAAATTACTGCCTTTGAGCTCCTCCTGTCCACCTGGAAGTGTTTTGAATGCTTTTTTGGAGTACCTTCCCCTTTTGACACAGTTTGTGATTGGGTGTTGTTTGGGCTGATTCATGTATTTACAAAAGCACAGATTTTGGAGTTGCAGGGTTCCCAAGCCCATCACAAGCTCTTGAAGAGCAGAGCATGGCCTTACATCTTCATCATCCAAGCCATGAGCTTGGTCCAGGGTGAATTACATCAGCTTGCTAATGTAATTAGCTTGTCTCCTGCAGTGACATAACCAGATAAAGATAGTGGTGACCAACACCCAGTTATCTCATGGAGCTGTTGCTCTAACAGGGCTGAGCCAGGGCTCTCCCCATCACCAGCCCACTGACCTCATTGGAAACCTGAGGAACTCCTCAGATTTCTGCTGGGATGCTCATTTTGACTTAATCTGTCTGGCTTTTTGCCAGCATAAAAATCTCCTCTCTGAGATTTTCCAATGTGTTTCAGTGAGAGCTAAATAAACCAAGGAGGTCTTCAGGAGCTTCTCTTTTTTCTCCTGTTTCCTTAAGTGCAGATCCATATTAATGCTGTGGGGAAATAGAGCCATGTGCAGAGTCGTATTCATGTCATGAAATGACATTATGAAATGAAAGAAATGCGTGTAACAGCACAGAGGGGGCACAGAGCAGGTACTTCACCTAACTGGCTGACTTTGCTCAGGAAAAGAAAAAAGAAGCAGCAGGACCATGCCCATGGGATCCACCCTTTACATCTGCTAATGAAAGAGCTACTTTATTTAAATCAGGGTATCCAGTGAAATATTCTCACTCTACCAGTGTGACTGGGAATTTGGCTGGAGGGAGGAGGAAAAGCAAAACAAAAGAAAACAAAAAACACAAAAAAACCACAATCAAAAAACACAATCAGAAGAAACAAAATGGCTTTTTGGACAAATTTGCTCCATCCTTTCTGGCCCTGGATTTCTTTATGTTGGCTGGGAGAGCCAAGCAGACAGCAAAGCTCAGCCATGGCATCTCAGTCCCAATATACTGCAATGCCTGTAGGGCATTTCAAGCTTTTTAATACGTAAGTAAACAAGGTGAATGGGTGTTTGGAATCAAAGCTAGGGGCTTCTACACCATGCCAGGACATCTTTCAACTCCATTGCACTACCACTGGTATCAGCACAATTACTTGCAGAGTAAGAATCTGCTCAGACTGAGGGAGAGAACCTGATCCCTTCTTTTCAGCTGAAAATGTAAACTTTGGGACAAGGATAACTTCCATTTTGCAGAGATTCAGTTTGGTTCTCTCTTCAACCATTCTGTAAAGCAGCATATTACAGGAAAGCTATTTATTAGTCCAAACCAGGATACTGGCTTGAATATCAACTTTAAATAATCTTTTAGAATCATAGAATTATAGAATTTCTTAGGTTGGAAGTACCTTTAAAATCCCTGTATCCAGCCAATAACACAGCACTGCCAAAGCCACCACAAAACCCTGTCCCTAAGCACCACATCTATTGAACTTTGAAATATTTCCAAGGCTGGTGACTCCACCACTCCCCTGGGCAGCCTGTGCCAGTGTTTCTCCACCAGCTCATCTTTGAGCACATGGGAACAACCTGCTCCTCAGCCTTGAGAGTTTCCTTCCTGAAGAATGCCCAGCCTTCCTGAACTCTTCAGTTCTTCTTCCAAGGAACTCCATGAATCTGTCTCCTAAAGAGGACTGTCTTCTCTCCAGATGACCAACACAGCAGTTCTGTGGATCCTTCTCACTTCTCTGAGAATCAAAACCTCACCAGCACCCTGTCCCTCAAATTTTGGGGTGCTGGCCCAGGCTTCTCTCTAGCAAGCCTGGATTTATCCCTTCCCCCTTCAAATCTAGTTTAAAGCTGTCTCAATGAGCCCTGCTAATTCCTGTGCAAGATCCTTTCCCATTTTGACACAGGTGTACCCCAGCTGCATCCAGCTCAGTGTCATGTAAACTGACCCATGATCAAAAACCCCAAAATTCTGCCAATGACATCAGGCTTGGAGCCAGCTATTGATCTGCTGGCTCTTCCTGTTTCTTCCCTCATCATTCCCTGCAACTGGAAAGGTGGAGGAGAACACTGCCTGTGCTCCTGATCCCTTAACTTGTTGTTCCAAGCCCCTGAAGCCTCTCTTGATTGTGCTTGAAGTTCTTGTCACAAATTTGTCACTTCCTACCTGAAAAATCAGTCATGGATAGAAATCCAACACTCATACCAGGGCAGAAAGCTTTCTCTTCACATCTTTAATCTGAACTCTAGGAAGGCAGTACAGTTCCCTAAGAAATGAGTCTGTTTGGCACAGTGGGCTTTCTAAGCCCTTCAGGAGGGAGCCTCCTCTGACACTGACCCATTTCATTTCACAGTCTCACTATATATTAGGCTACAAAACTTGAATTTTCCCAACAAGAAAGCAAAGAGGGAAGGAGCTGGCCAGAGCTTTATGAGGCACTTTGGCAGCATCCTTCCTTCCCCACTCCACTGCCTGGCAGATGACCCCCTGAATGCCTTAGTACCCACTGCACGCTTCTCCTTCTATTCCTGAAGTGCTGCTTTGTCCTGTAGAAACTCAAATACATATGATAATATGTAAGGAGTTCTTCCTATGTCTTTTTATGAGCACTGTGAAAGATGTCAGATGATTATCTGAGACCTCCCTGCCAAACCCATTGCTTCAGGGGGACACATGGAGGCTGGCAAGAAAAGGAAATCCTATGGCCAAAAGCTCTTGGAGAGAGCAGCTTCTCCTCCCACTTGCAGAGACCATGCTTAAATATTTGTGGTATCATAAATATGCTCTTTAGTGTGTGCACTAATAGATCTCTGGAACACAGATGGGTTTGGACTCTTGGGCTTGTGAAAAGCAAGGTAAGAAGTGTCCAGTGTGTGTGAGGGGGAGTTGGGTGGGTGTCTGCTGGGCTCAGGGTTATTCTGTTTGACCCCATCCTGGTACTAAAGCAGCCTGCTGCCATTACAGCTGTGGGATTTTGAAAAGAACAGTTTTTTATCACTAACCTGGTTGACTACAGCATAAACATTACACATAGGGAGGAAAAATTACTACCATGGGGAGAAAATGTGGCAAAACAGACCTCTAGTGCCTTATAGGTTATATATCCACTCATGCATGCATGAAATGAATATAAGAACATACAAAAATATTATATAAACATAGCTGATAATATTCTGCTTGCTCTCCATACAGCGATTTTATGCTAAAAGGTGCCACTTACCTAACATGGTGCTAAAGTCTCAGTCTGAAGTCTTAATTCCCTTCTTCAGCCATGTTAAACACCTCCTTTGGGAGCAGAACTTCTTTTTTCCCCCATGCCCTTGCTTTCTCATGCTGTTTGCTCATGGCTTCAGAGAAGTCTCTTCAGCCTCAGAAGCTGAGGTCCTTCCTAAGAAAAGCAGAGTTAAAGACATGCTGAAGGTTTTACCTGTAGTGGTTTGGTGTAAGAAGACAGCAATGCCTTTTAATGATTTCCTTCATGTCAGAGGGGAAGTTTAAATAGATTTCTGTGCCCTGAACATGAGACCAGTAAGAAGTGATTTCTGTTTAAGTAGGTGTTAGGAGGTAGGAAAGAGTGTTGTAATAACAGCCTGTCTCATAAGCCAAGGAAGTGAGATGTTGAATCTGTACCCAAACAAAGAGTGAACCTGAGTCACAAGAACATTTTGCATTTATAGGGCAGCTTTCACTGGAGAATTTCAGCCTGTTCCAGAGTGTTTTGCCTACCTGGAGAGCTGGGATAAACACATGAACTTACACCAAGTGCAGCTTTCCTTGGTGATGTCATGGAGCCAGTCAGGGAACACAGAGCCTGGGACTGTTTCAGTATGAGTAAAAGGACAGAATCTGGCCCCTTATGCTTAACTTTCACATCTCTTTTCCCTTGTAAATTAAGCACTCATTCGACTTTATAGACAGGTAACTGATATACAGAGATCCCAGGGAGTTTGTCTAAAGTCACAAATTGAGGAAGGCAATGAAAAAGGACCCAAAAGTTTTGGCTTTGTGCTCTAACCCCAAGGAAAGCTTAATTTGGCACTAGAAGCTGCTTGATCTTTAGGGCTTCTGCATGAACAGGGAGTAGTTTGGTTAATGAAATAATATCCCAGGCACATATGAAGAGCAATTACTTGCTCTCATATAAACTCTCATGTATTCATCTAGAAAAAATGTTCATGACTCAGTCATCTGGGATGGTTCAGGCTACTCACCCTCCAGCATGAGGCGTAGGCATTGCAGTGGTGAAGTTAAAAAGGAAGACACGTGACCCCAATTACTCACAAGGAGAAGAATTATGATCTCAGATACAGTGGTATAAATCCAAAGCCATTCCTCCCTGAAGTAATTGGCATCATATTATATTTTCTCTAACATACAGGAAATCAGGATGCAGTCTGTAATCCCAGTTTGTCTGCAGAGCTTTGTTCAGGGAGAGGCTTTGCTCTCCTGCAATGGATGTAAAGTGATGGAGAAAAATAGTGCTGGAAAATGTGCAAGAAAGAAAAACGTGCCAAGCTTCCCTGTAGCAAGAACACCAAATTATCTCTTAGTTTTAACAGTGTACTTAATAAGGATTTCGCTTTTTTAATCAGGTTTTCTCCATTTTTAATAAACAATAAAAACAAACTGATATACAGAAAGACTGTCTAGTTGACCTGTATTTCAATTTCCCCTTTTTTGCTCTGGATATCACGAACACTGAGGAAGGAAGGTGTTGACTGTCAGGAAAGGTGAAGAAAATTACAAACTTACAAATTTGCAGATGGAATTTGACAACAAACACAAATCTAGTATTAAGGACATTGCAAGTTCAGAGGAAAGATTAATTAATGTAATGACCACAGTGAACTGTTCCTGTGGGACATAGGAAATTGTATGAAGCTGTTTCCATCAGTGCAGAACAAAGGACTCAGGACTTGAAGAGTGGGGACTGAATTCATCACAGCTGGAGATCACATAGAAAAATATTCTAAATAGACCCTTCATTTATCATTTTTGAGATTTTGATAATTGTAATATTCTCAACTTTGTGGTTTTCAGTAATTTGGAATTGACAGATGAGAACTTTACCCCTTGGGACTACAGAAAACCTGGCAAGAAGTGAACAGGAAAAAATTCAGTTTGAAACATAATAGGCACCTAGCAAGTTTCCAGCACATCAGGCAGCCCAGAGTTTTTTACAAATATGTGTGCTTTTAACATTTTCTAAGACCACAAAAGCAGTTCAAACATATGTAAAATTATATTATTGGCAAATTGTCCCAGCAGGCTACAGGAGTTATTCCTTAAAAACTCTGGATGTGCAGGAGGACAGATGGGGTGCCACCACAAAACTTCCTGCCTGCCCTTGCTGCTGGCACAGGGAGGAGCACAACCTGCAGCTCCAGTGCATGTTGCAGCACTTTATGGGCACTTATTGAAATTTCTGGCTGGTCACCTGGTTCAGATTCCTTCCTGAAAAGTCTTGGCACACACAGCTTGTTGCTATAATTTCTAAGTATGCAGAGGACATGCTTGTGCACCAGTAAAGCTGCAGATCTTGTGGATTTAGGAAAGCTGATACCTGTATTACATGCATGAATGCAAAGCATGTATATTTACACATGCACAGAGGGCAGATGTATTTTACATATGTGGCAGCATGTGTGTAATGGAGTGTAACACAAGGTCCAGGGGTATCATTAGGAGACACTTGAGTGAAGGTGGTGAGGAAACTGTTTGCGCTGGCACTGCTGAAATACTGGAGCCTCCTGCCTCTTTGCAGAGAGAGGCATTGTAACAACTTGAAATGTTTTTGTGGCAGATCCAAGAATAGTAAAACCTTTCCCAGCATCAAGTACAGTCAGAGTGATGGTTTGCAGTCGTTTGCTGTGTGTAATTAACAACTCCCCATATCTGCATCAGTCAAAACTCCTGCTGTGGAACTTCCACGTCTCTGGTAACCCTGGCAGAGAGGTGGCCCCAAATAGCACCCAGCCCAGCACAGCTGAGTGGGGCCAGCTGCTCTGTGATGCTTCATCATCACAACTGTGTCCTGGTCTGCGTGGGGCACCCTGAATGTGCAAAAGCATAGAGCAAAAAATGAACTCCTTTAATTAAGTATCCTTTATTACTAAAGCAATGAGTGTTTTTGGAGCAATTTTATACACTTTCAGTTCAGGGGTGATTTTTTTTACTGAAATAGTACCTCAGCACACCTGCAGTGTGTCCAGTGTGATCAGCAGAAAAGGTGCTGTACTCCTGAACAGCAAAATCCACCTCCCACAATAAGCTCATCTTCCCTCTGAAGAGGCTGTTCTGCTTTTTTCATGGAGACACTTACAAAAGCTGCCCCTCAAAGTTCTGCTCTTCCTCTGATGGACCCTGATGGGAAGTGACCACTGGTCCTTTGGCTAACCAGCAGCATCCAAGTCTCTGATCCAGGGAGAAGAAGCTGGACACATGGCACATTTGTGAGATGAAGGAGGATGTGAGGGGGAAACATCTAAAGGACCCTGAGAAATTAAAAACTATCCTGTCAATAGTAAGAGTCTGCTGAGGTCTGTGTTTTGGCAGCTGGAAAAAGTCACACAATGTAGTCTTCACAAACACAAGAGATTCTGGTTCTTGAGAAGCTTTAAAGAAAAGGATTCTATCCAGTGTTGCATGAGAAGAGAGTATTGTCTCCAGAGGTGACACACCTCCTTTAATTTTGTTTAGGGACCTTGAGTCTCCATGATAGACACGGTCCCTTACAGGCTCTGATGGGAGCACAGGGCTCTTTTCCAGCAGCATCATCCCAGATCCCATCCAGGACCAAGTCTCCAAGGCTCTAGGGAAGCTAAATCTCTAAAATTGCATAAAGATTGCTCTGCAGCCCTATTTTCAAAAGTGTTGATACTCATTTAGCTCCTCTTACCTGAAAACTAGCTAAAACACTCCAGTGAGGGTTGTAGGGATGTAGCAGAGCACTTTGAACTGCATTTTCCTCATTCTTGGTGAATAGAGAAATCTTTAATGGGGTATTTATTTAGTGTACCAGAGCCAACAGGTGTAGATAATTTGGAACTGCCAAGGACAAATCACCACGTGTAATGTTAAGACAGTTACTCCAGGGAGGAGAGAGGGAGGGGGGAAGTGCTGTATATTAGCATAACTATCTCCTCACACATCCTCTCTCTTCTTTGCATAATATCCTAGTCTTGTGGGCCCCTGCCAGCAAAATAAAACAATGATCCCAGCCCTGTGGGCCTGTCATTATTGATTTATAAAATACTTACAGCTAGTTGTGTTAAATGTGTCCTTCCATTGCAAAGAGGAATTACTGGGCATCCAGTGGTGTAAGACTGCACCATTATTATCATGCTTTAGGAGTTACATATAAAGATATCTTCAAAATGTCTTTTTTTAGGCATTTTGACTACTCTACGGAAACCCATCTGGAAATGAACGTAGTTGGCCTAATGTATGTAATGAATCTAATGTGCTGTTCTTCCACATTAAGGATAAATCTAATAGGATGATTGAGTGGGGCCAAACTTCTCCAGGAAATTCCTTTATAATACATGATTGAATTATTGTTTTTCTATTAGGGAAGCCAAAACATTCAGTGTTCTTGACAATGCAGGATGTGTGCCGTAACTTTTTTGCCACTAAGCTAGGCATACTGTATCTGGACGTATGCCCAGCTTTTTTGAGTATTTCCAGTTGAGTGATTTATTTATTTTCCAAAGAAAGGCTACATAAGTTATCCAGAACTCAGTAGACTTCTTTTCGGGTCAGACGACAGCACTTGGTGCCTGGCTGCCAAATGGACAAAATCTCAGGAATTCAGAGGTGTTTCCAGCAAAGCTGTGATTTTCCTAATGGATACCTAGAAGTTGTGTTTGAGGAACTGCTAAACCTTTTCTCAACAGAAATTGTGCTCCTAACTCCCTTTGCAAATCTCTACTTCAAGTCTGCTTTCAAGCCCCTAATTAAGCTGATTTTCAGAAATGTTCTCCTTCCAGCTGCAACCCTGGGATCTAAGAGAAGCTGAATGTAGCACATGTGAAAATTTGGTTATTTATTTATAAGCCAAATGTGACTCTAGAAGCCTGACTTCAAATGCCTTTTAAAATCTAGATTCAATGATCTTAAAGGTCTTTTCCAAACTAAATAATTCTGTGATTCTATAATTTGAATGTGGATTGTTTGGTCTTTATTGGCACTGTGCTTTTGAGATACCCACATGCACTCCCAGGGGTAACAAACATAAAATGTGTGTCATTATTAGTGCACATGATGAGAATATGCTGTGACTCTGGGACATCCTGAAACCTCAAAAATATATGGTTATATACAAAAGGAGAAAGGGAGAACTCTATGTTTTTTCAAACTATAGTTTTGGAAAAGGTGGTATTTATTAATGCAGCCTCCTAACCTTGTCTAAAAGATCTCATTGCTCATTTCCTGTAGCAACAGAGCTTCTTCCTTTCGGTTTTTTTAATAGGGGAGGGCAATTATTTTTCTTCTGTGAATAAAATACTTGACGCCATCCCCCACCCCTTCCCAAGTAGTCTCAGGTCAAATCAGTCATATAGTTGCAGCTGGAAACTATTTTTGGCCTAGGTTTACAGCTCTGCAGAGGATATCCAGATACTCTACCAAATATTTAAGGCACTCAGCCAGGGTGTGGGAGATGGCAGGTTCAAATCTCTCTGGAAAAGTGGATTTGAATCCACCCCCCAAGAGGCAGCTATCATTAGCATCTTGCTGTGTAGGAATGATGAGTGAATAATTCAACCAACCTGAGGTTTGACCAGCTACTTGTCTCACTTGAGGTTTTCCTCAGTTCTTGGGCTGCAGGGAAGGTGGGATGGGGAACAAAACCAAGCAGGGGCCTCCATTTTACCTCTTAGGCTAAACTAAGCCACTTTTACATCCAACCATCATCTGTCTCAGTCATGCAGAGGTGAGGCTGAGCTCGCTTTCACCCCTACCCATCTTCCAGAGAAACCAGTGTTTCATTGCTGTGTTTGATTTCTTTTTAATCCTCCTTAAACTGAAAGTCAGAGATCATCTGCCACCAAGCCAGGATCCTTACTCATCCTGGCAGAGATCAGGTTCTGACCTCTGGGACACCAAATAAAAGCAAGGAGGGGAATAATATTTGTTGGCTTTGTTAGTAACAGAGATTGAAAGACACCCAAGTGGGTAAAACTGGAGTGGCCCAGTACCTGCTCTGTGCACAGAAAATGCTGGACCTCTCGTGGTGGTATTTCTCTACATGTGCCCCACAGCCTTGCTCCTCAAGTGTATCTGGAGTTAAACAGCTCTGCAGGTTAACCCATACTTCTTGTGCAGCCGAGTGTTTATCATCCTTGAGGAATCTCGCCTGTGGAGGTTTGATTAATTTTTTTCATACACATATAAACAGATTCAAGATGTTCTTGCTCAGCCAGAGGATAAAGGTTTCTCCTATCCTATCTCAGCTCTCCATCAGAAAAACAGTCAGTCCCAGTGTGCCAAGATTCTCCCAAAGGCATTATTGCCGTCATCTGCGCTCACGAACACGGGCTTGCAGAACTCCTGAAAAACAAGGGCACTGTCCTTTCCCAGCATGAGCTCTGAATTCTGGATAGCCCCAGGGTGGAATTGCTTCTTACATTCCCTAGAGCCAGGAGAGCTCTGAGAGAAGACCTGGAGATGCCATGCACACAGGAGAAGTAACAGTGGTCAGCTTTGAACAGTGGCCCAGCCTCTCCAAAGCAGAAGTATAAAACCTGTGATTCCAGTTTGGACAAGTGCAGAGCATGACCTAAACCTTCCTAGTTCACTCAAGAGCTTTCCCTTTCCCTCCTAAGCTGCCAAATCACCCTGCCAGATATTGCTCAAGTGCTGATGTGGGTTTGCACTGTGTGTGCCACGTGTGAGTGGATGTTAAAGACAGTCATTATCGTTAGAAAATCTGCATTTGCTATAAAAACTCACTTCAAAATCACTGAAACCTCATCAGAGGATTGATCCACCTGCACCCACAGAGAGCTCCCTGGAATGCTCCAGACCCACTTGTCCTTTCCTCCAAGGCAGAGGGCAGGCTGTGTGTCCAGTACAAATCCAACCAAACTCTAAGCAGTCTCTAAGTGATTTCACTGATCTTAAATGAAGAAAAGATTATTTGGTTTAGGGTTCAAAAAAAGTGAAAAATTTCCACCATTCCACCCTTTCTTGCCAAACCCCA